CATTTCAATTTAGCAGAACGTCAAGGAGAATATCCGGCTCTACCCCACATGTTATATATGCTCATAGCTAACAATCAAAATAGATTTTGTCAGTTCTCTTTCATATTTATCGGAGTATCTGTGCTGCCTGTGTTTAAGCATGTGTTAACGTCTGAAAACATGCAAATCTGATTGCACACTATGCAGAGAAACTGTGTTTCGAGGCATCCCATACTAGATTGATACTGGCATACCCTTCATTTTGTTTGAGAAGGTGGGTGAGATGGATTTATAGATTGGCCTCACTGGATACCGAAGAAGAGTGGAATTGGACTTTTGTCTGTTGAATTATTGCTGAATTTGTTCAATCCTTTTGACGGGTGTTCGTGAATAATGGTTGTTGGCTCTGCAGATGTACATCACATGACGGAAGAAAGCTCAGCACAGAGTCATCAAGGTCGTAGGACGGTGAGCCGAGGTCTTCTTCGCACAATTCAACAGACAAAACGCCAAGGCAACCCTCCTTTGGTATTCGGTGCGGCTAATCTACACATTTTTCGTGTGTGAGTAGAGTTTCGAGATTACCAGTAAATCAGTCATTTGAGCTGTATTAACCCTCTTTCGGTTAAGGTGATGAAAGACTTGAAGTAGAATTTTTCCACAATGATATGAGTAGAAGTGACATTTCATATCATTGTGGTAAAATTTTACTACCAGTCCTTCGTCACTTTAAACGAAATAGGGCGAATACATTTCATGTAACTGATTTACTGGTAGTCTCAAAACTCTACTTATATACGAAAAATAAATAAAGTAGTCAATTGTTATGGCAAAAATTCGTTTGTTTCATCAACAATCCCACCAAAGAATGTGATATCGGAAATTCACATCTGCCCTGTGACCCAAGGGCACTCGTGGCATTGTGGCCGAGTGGTTAAACTGTCAACCTCCCATTCTGCACCGTCACGGTTCAACTCTTTCTGGGAGTGTTGATAAGAACGATGCGAGGTCGAAACTGCAGTCCACTTTGGGCTGGATGAGAACAACTTTTGGGACAGCAAGGCTGTGTGAAATTGAATGGAAACGTCAGCTCTACTCATAGCATTGTGGGGAAATTCTTCTTCCAGTCCTTCATCATCTTTAACGAAATAGAGTGGATACATCTCATATTACTAATCTACAAATCCTTTCTATCCTTTCTAAAACAAAATGAAAGATATGCCAGTATCAGATTACTCAATATCGGCCATCATCATCATCAAAATGAACTTTCATATAGACGGGAATTCTCCACAAAAACTTTATCTCAAAACATTCCCAGTTATTATTTATATATACAATGCAATTTTAGTATATATTTCAAGAAAATATGGGTAGTCAAGCTTGCTTAACTTGTTTTAAATGCGAGAGTGATTCGAGAATGCGTCATTAAGCTGATGATGTCGGACAACTGACATGATAGAGGAAAGCTGAAGGATGCCTCGAGGACTACGTCAGCCTGAATGCCCCAATAAATCCAAACGAGAGCAGATCAAGATGTATCCGACGTCATCTTCTGGCAAGGTTGTTCTAAGAACCTTCTTATTGTATACTTTTCCTCGAAATTAAAGTCAAGTCAGCACTGCTGTACCAAAAGACTTCTCGAAAATCAGTTACTTTATAGAAACTAACTATCCATAAACCGGAAATGACTAATTACTAGTAATTTAAGCCATTAAGTCAGGAAAACTCAGCGACTTATATAATCTCTAAATATATGGAATTTAATGAGATACAGAGTGATTTGGTCTGTTCATGTCTATGCCATTCTCGAGTTATGTGCATAGTTATGTCTGTAGGTGTGTGTAAATACACAAATTCATCAGCTATAGCTCCAAGGCTTCTAACATCTGTGTAACATATGCCTTCGGTCGTCAAGACATTAATCTAGAGGCAACTTTACTTCTTGCATAATGGACGTTGATCGAATAATAATAACGAGAGCCTAAATAACTCTGAGAAGTATCAAAATGAAGTTGTATGGTTCTTTTGCTTCCTTGATTTCACCCTCTTGCACAGCCTCCACTCGTGACCTGTCATGCGTAATGAATTTTCTGGATGCTCTGAGCATCTCGCCCGTCGAATTTCGTGTTTGGGGTATCAGTTTGCTCTACGGACTGATTGACAAGTCGCCCATCCAAGTGACCGCTGAGTTGACCGCGCAACCGGCCTACTACGAGGCTCTGGTGCATCTATTGACATTGGAGCCGATCAGGTATAGTTTTGTGTTTTTTTCATATTTAACTTGGATCTTAGATGTAAATGGATATATTCGGTAGTTTTCGTTTATTCTCACGTTTGGCTTTTTTACACCTGTCCGGTCCTTCCAGTGGACGTTCGGATGCCTGAATACAATTGTATAAGAGGTTCACATTCTAGAACATTCGAAACTGTCTTGTTGTCTTGCCCACTTAAAGTGTTAATATTTTGGATCCGATCTTGACATGAATACTTGGTCGACCATTGCATAGCAACGGTCTCTTAGGTTCCCTGTGTCCTTTCAGAAGGACACAGATCTTACTGTTGCTATAATAAGCAACTGGGCTTCAAACAATCCCCTAATAAGGTAAAAATGATTCATAAATTTGCCTCACTGTACATGGGAAACATACCTCGCCCCACCGTCTTGCGATCATGATGAATCTGTACTGAGCTATTGTTTCTCTTGTACCGGACATCGTCAGAGTAGGAAACCATTATCCAAGAAATTTTACCAAAAACCTTGGACGAGGAGAGAGTTAATGTATTAGTTTTTTTTCAGGTTACGCCAAGTTAAAACTTGCTTTTACCGTTTAAAAGATCTCCAGATCCTTTGTGCGGCTGCGACAAACTATCGTTAAACTGCGTTAATTCTGAACCAAATCACCAAAAAAGTCTAATCTGTTGCTCCGCTTGTCTTGGCCATCCGTCTCAAGTACGATACTACACAAACTCAACTATCTCCCTCTTTAAATTTGAGCAATTTTGAAGCGTACATTGTCAATTTCTGTAGGAAATGAATACCAAAGCAGCGCTTGAGATTCTGCCGTCTTCATAGGAATTGAGTTCAGCTATTACGGATTAGTATCGGGGCTTCAGGACTTTTCTGTACAGTTGATAGACAGTGTCGAGACCACAACAAACAGTCTATTCCGAATCTTTTTAACCTCGAAACCTCCTGATTTTATGGCTGTCGTCACTTCATACGAAGAAAAGTTGGGTTTCGAGGAATCTATTGTTTCATAATTGTTGGGCTTACTTCCATTTGGAAGGAAAGTGTTGGGTGAAGAGATTCGAAGGTCGTTTCCACCCGAAGACGACCGCGGATTCCTCTTCACCAGCTGTCGATTGGCTTTACTGGAAGATTCATACTGACGCTGTTTCCGAGGCAATATCCTTCGGTATCGGTGAAAAGGTGCTGAGCTTTTGTCCGTCATATGACGGA